CAAGATGTAAAGCAGTGAAAGAAACTGAGCTCATTTTGTTTAAATATGGATTTACTTAAATAAGAAATTAACTCTGATGCAAACCAGCAGTTTGGAAGTGCTATGTGCTTTCCACGCACGCAGCAGATGAGTTCAAGACAGTTACTAATTATTAGCCTAATTAATGTTACATATGTCGGTAGGATGCTGCTATGGTTGCAGAGAGAACTATGGTACAATTCCAAAACACACCTTCTGTCCTCACCTGATAAAAACCTTGGTGGCCCAGGCTTTCTAGTGGCATGGGCTATACTGGAAGCGTTCAAGGCCAGGTCGCACAGGGCTTTCAGCAAGCTGATCTAGCAAAAGACGTCACTTCTCACGGCAGAGCGGTTGGACTAAACGATCTTTAAAGGTGCTTTCCAACCCACAGCATTCCGTGATACTGTGATATGTTGCCCTGGTCAAGTGGGAGCAGCAGTTCCCAATTCTACCTCTCCAGATACGCAGAAACGTGTCAGACAACATATTTGCATCCCATCACGCATAGGATCTATGGTAGTGGCAGCTTCTTGTAGCACCACAAACTAGTGCGTTGGAGGAATAGTTTCTTTGAAATTCTTTCCTAAGACTGGCTGGATTATTCCTCCAGTAGTACCCTGACGCATTATACAGCACTGTCTGTCCCTGTTTTATTCTGGTACTGCTCAAGCTGTTCTTTCACTTCTAATCAAGGAAAGGTGAGGAAGCAGAATGAAACACACTATAAAGAAACACATAGCAGGGCAGGAACAAGGGCATGAACTGCTACTAGTATCTTTAGAACTGGTGTGTAACTTTGAAAATGTAGGAAAAGATGATGCAGACAAAGCTATAGAGGGAACAAAGATAAGGAGAAAACTCCCTATTTTTGCTTAAAAAAAATGTGTGTTACAAACTTGAACATAAAAATAACAGATGACAAAATCCTTGCTCTCAGGCATTTGCCACGAAGTCATATGCTGGTATGCATTTTTGGGGATTCAAATATATCTCTTATTTCACCTAGTCATATTTATTTTTCATGAGGAACGGGCATTTTCAAAGGAAGTTTGCTCAAAAAAGAACTTGAGAACAGTTCTTTGAATAACAGCAGAAATATCAAATCTTGTTTCTAAAAGCCAAGTTACAAAACCTGGGAAAACAAGGGGTTTTTTAACAAAGTGTTGACAAAACTGGGCCTTAATGCTGAAATCCTTAAAAAGGATGCAGATTCATTACAAAGACCCATATTTGCCATCTTTACACGTTAGATTGTACCTTTTTTTTTTTTAAATAGCTCTATAGAGACAATGGAGTTGGACAGAGAAATTAATTTGGTCCCAATAAACCTCCCGAGAAGTAGAAAAGTTTTGCCATCTCTTGATGTTTTCAGGAGAATCTCAGAAGAACTAATAGGTTGCTACTAGCCTAGATTTCAAAACTTACATAATAAGAGAAAAGAGGCTCATGGAGAACAAGATGAATAAGAAAAATATTTTAAATGGAAAGCTGAAAAACTGTGTTTCAACTAAACTGATAAAGTAACAGCAATTATCGATAATGAGGGGCATGCTGTGCTGAAGACGCTGCATCACTGGCTGCAGACTCTACCATTCACGTTAATTTAGAAAACATGTTTCATATTGCACGTAATGAATGACGTTCTGTGTATGAAGCTTTGTCAGGATCTGTTTGGAGCTATCTGAACAGCCTGGGGGACCTGGAGATTTACTAAACATTTCTGCTGATATGGACAGATCAGCCAGGAGTATGTTCAAGGGTCCACCCTGACTTCCAGAGCTGACCCTACACAGGCCCTTACTTGAGATGTAGTTGAATAGTGCTAGTGTCAGTTCAGTTGCTTCCGTTATGGAAAGTTACTGTGTAAAACACGTGTTTGCTAGGATGACTGCATCCCTGTAGAAGTATCTTCCCATTAGAATATGTCATGGGATTTCCTATGTCACGAGGCAGGTCCAACTTAGGATTCAGTCTTCTGCCCATGCTGGTGAATATTATTACATTAGCCTGACTGTGTCTGTAATCATGTTCTATCAATGCAAAACTGGAATAAGACAATGAAGAATCAGGTCCTGTATTTTACCTAAATGCTAGTTGAAAACATCTTAAGACAATGCTTCAATGTAATCATATAAAATAAGTATTTTCCTTCTAAAAGATTGCAGACCCCAGGGAAAGCTTTTTTTTTGCACTGTTTTCTTCCCTCTTTTCCACTCAGAAGCATGCTGGTGACCCAGTGTTGCTGCTCTGTCAATACTTCAATAGTATGCACATTATTTCGTTTTAAATACTACCTAAAGAATGCAGTCAAGCATACAAAAGGAATTTTAAATACAGTCTAAAAATGCAGTCAAGCATGTTACTCTGAAAGATCTCACTGAATGAAAGAAGTTATTTGCATAATAAGGTATTCTTACAATTAAAGTCACACTTGAGAGTGAATCCTTGCAATATTACATAAAGTATTTGATATTTCTGATTGGATATTGAAAAACACGGAGCACTCCATTCATTTCAATGAACCCTCCCCACTATTTGTGTTCTTTGTTAACTCCCAGCATATGGTGTTTTAAAAGAGATAGCTAAGAACGATGGGATAAGTTGTGGAGCTTTCCTTCAATAAGAAATCCACATCTTAAGCATAGCCATGAGGTAAACAGATCTACACTGTTTAAAATCCAACCAGAATAGCTTTTTAAAGAGTTTTAACCATAAAATGCTTTAAGTTAAGAAAAAAAAAAGGCAGCTGGAACATGTTAACTTGGTTTCTAATTGAAACAGTGGTGTGTTCTGTTTCATGTTGGGATTTCAACAGACTCTTAATTAGACTTTTTACCATGCATTTTTCATTTAAAAATATCTTGATGACATTCTGGTCATCAAGAATATCCTGGGAGACTTGACACCTGTTACTCCTTGGAAGAACATTCATCCAAAAGGCAGGCAGGCAAATGATACTCCGCAACTGGTAGAATAAATATTAAGTCAAAATATCCAGAGTATTTAAAAGAATAATGAAGGTGAAAAAAGAGTCTAGAAAATAGTTTGTGCAGTTCAGACTTAGTGACGATAAGCAGAAAACAATGCTCAAAGCAAAAGCCAAAAAATGGGTTGCCTACTATGTTGTGGGATACTAATAGAATATTTTCAATGTGCATGTATAGCTGGTAAAGTCACTACTATGTCAGTTCCTAAGGACATGAAAAAAAATTCACTTACCTGTTTTATGAATAGCCGCTTAGATAGCTATTGAAAACAGCATTTGCAACAGATTTCTATATAGTAATAAATCAGTATACAAGACCAGATGTTATCACGCAGATTGAAACACACAGTCAGAATACATCAGTTCATTTTTATAAACACAGGATTCCTTATTCAGGAATTCCTTATTCCTTAAAATTCCTTAATCGGGAATTCTCATAAAGCGCATTGCTATGATTAATCTTAATTTAACTTCTTAAAGTGGCATAAAATTAATAAATAGACAGTATTAAATCCTGGAGGGACTTAAAGAAAGAGTTCCATGCTATACTAAAAATATCGCCTTTAAATTGAACTTCAGATACTAGAACAGAACAGAATAGAATAGAACAGTCGTTGGATGGGACCTACAATGATCATCTAGCCCAACTGCCTGACCAATTCAGGGTTGACCAAGCTAAGGCATGTTATTACAGGCATTGTCCAAATTAAACAGCATTGACCACCTCTCAAGTACGCCTATTCCAGTATTTGACCACCTTCTTGATAAAGAAACGTTTCCTAACATAAAGTCTGAACCTCCCCTGATGCAGCTTTGAACCATTCCCACATGTCCTGTCACTGGCTACAAGGGAGAAGAGATCAGCACCTCCTTCACTTCTTCTCATACTGATCAAAACAAATTGAGTTTGACTCCTGGGCTTTATAGACACAGACAGCATTAATTTTCAGTGCTGATTTTTAAATAAAAATAAAAAGGATAAATGTATAAAATAAAAATATCACCAAAACAGCTTGAGATGCGTGGCTAAATTAGAAAGAGAAAGGGAAAACTATTTTGCTACTCTGCAGTAGCTTATTTTCCTGACTTTTAGGAGAAAAGAAAGCCCTTAAATTTTCTGTCCCTTACTAAGAGACAAATTGTTTACTGTGTTCTGTATACACAGAAATAAAGCCATCAACTGCAATGTGGTCTGAGTTAGCACCATCCTTTATGTGAAGCAGGTCCTTGAAGGCACATTTTGGGATTCTTTTATGGATCTAAGTGAGGGGGACTTAAACTGTTATTGCCCCAGCAGTCTTCTGTCACGTTTTAGCCGGTTTACTGTCCCAAAAGTGGAATTGTCATATGAACACTCCTAGGCTGTCAGTGGAGTCACCTTAAAGCATCTTAAACCAAATTTGGATGACTTTACACTTATGTGAACAACTTACATAGACACTTTTAGCTTTGCAGCTGTGTCAACAGCAACTGCAAGAAATAACTTCTCAACTTCTATAACTAGATGCGAAAGAAATGACCTGCATATGCCTTCAGTCCCTTTGGAATGAGAAAATTGAAAAGGATGTTAGACAGATTGCGGCAATGTGGCTAGAAGCTCAGTCTCAGGACAAATTAATGTCTGTTAATGGGAATTCAAGTTAGAGTAATCAGAAGATAAAAAAAAAAAAACAACAAACCAAAAATGAGGAAAGGTTAGATGTCTCTGGTCTTGTGTTGGTCACCCTGAAAAGAAAGAAAGCTTGTACCAAATCCCCAGACCTATAAGACTTTTGCATTATTTTTCTCATGACCCATAAAATCAGATGCCTATTGAGCCAAATCACTGGCAAAGTTCACAGAGTGCATGATCTTTATGGTACGGACTATTGTAGAAATATTGTGGCAAAAAATGTCATAGAAAATACAACCTGCCCCACAAGCACACTGAGCCCTGGGAGAGAGCTTCTTGCCCATGTTGTATGCTATTGTATCTGAAATGTTTTATTCATACCTAGAGCTGCCCTCTGAATGCGCCTTTGGGTTATTTCTCCTTTCAGATGGTCTGTAAAAGACACAAAATGCAAATAGTTAGAATTCAAAGTGTAAAAAATCAATGAAGTTATTTCTTTTTTCCCATCACTTGAAAACCCCTGTGCTGCTGGCCAATTTAAGGGGATTTATTGTGATCCACAGGACAAGCAGTTTTCTGAGCTCTCTCCTTCTTGCTACTGCAAGCAAACAAGTAGGCACAATTTGGCTCTACATATCCTCAGATTTAACTTTGTCCAGTAAGGAAGACTGAAAATGAAGCTATTTACTGTCAAGCACTTTCACAGGATAATCATCTCCTGCTGCTAGATGTAAAAGAAGTCCAAGTGAGGCTAGAAGACATACAGAATTCCAAGTATTTCTTCAAACAGACTTATAGGCGCTAGCAGTGGAAATGAAATATTAGGTCATCCAGTCCACCTCTTTGCCAGTGAAGAATTGGTTCCCTATTTTTTCCATTTTTCCTGTTCGTTCAGCTCAGTTTTAAATATCACATGTGCTAGAGCTTCTGCAAGCTCTACTACTCCACAGAACTCACTGTGTAGATGTCATTGGTTTTCAACCGAAATTTTTCTTTAATTTCATTATCTCATTATTCTTAGGCTCCCATGCTCCATATAATTCACCTTTACCCTTCTTTTATTAATTTCCTTCTTGATCTATGACACTGTTCCAGTTCACCAGTTATTTCAAATGATAATTAGATTACCACATGGGAAGCCATTATTCATAGATATTAATGGAATCTATAAAGGAAAAACATAACCCTAAATGTGCAATTTCAGCAGTATATGTGTTCTGAGGGAGGATGGGATTATGTCTTTCAAGTTTTCAGATTAAAACAATTTATAAGCAGAGACTTATTCATAATCTTTACTAAGCTATACATCTGGATACCAGGGAAAGAAAAAAAAAAAATCCATGCTGGATTCACTTTTTTCCCCCAGACCTGTGATTGTATATATTTTAGTAGCATGCACTCTGAATTAAAAACACCCTGTTGCTTACAAATGAAGACTTAAAGAGTAAGTTAATCAAAGCAAATTAAGTCAGTAAAAGCTGCCAAATGCTTAACTGAAGAATGCAAAAAACCTTTTAAATTCACAGGTCTGGAGAATTAGACTGTTCTATGACCGTCAAAGAACCACGAAAAATTAAACTTCTCTGGGAATTATGAGAATATTTTCAAGTATTTAGTAGCATTATAGAATAGGTATTATATGCAATACGTTGCAGTATAACTGCCAAGTTACGTCGTTTTGATTGTTTTCTCAAAACCAACCAAAAAATCCCACCTACTCCTTGTCCATAAAACAGATATTGCAGATTCCTGTTTTTCTGCACAGAAGATTTTATTCTTTTCAATTATTTCTATTTAAACAAATGAATTATCTGTACTTAAAGTTATCTGTAAATTAAGAAAAGCCTTCAGCTACAGAGAAACAGGTTAACTGAAAGAACTAACCTCACCTACCCCAGCCATACCAAATAAATCCTCTATCTATCTCAACTGTACTAACCCTCAATCAAAAAAACCATTCAGTGAAGTAAGCTCCTGATTTCTATAGTTATAGACAAAACCCTCTTGATTAATAATTTTCACCAGTAAAATCCCAGTTAAATGATCAACACTCACGCTGTTTGTGCTTTGAAAAGTTGATATAGCAACTGCCTCAGAAAGCCATCTATACATATATCTTCATGTAAGGGCTCAGAAACTCCTTTTCTGAAGCACTGTGAGCTACAAAAGGCAATGCCACTGGCATTTGAAGAATAGTTCTAGTAGTGAGAATATGCTGCTCACCAAGAATCAACTGAAAATAAAGGTGATATACGAGTTTTCTATCCTGGAAATACATGGTTTTAGTAGTGTTATTTCTCTTTCTTTAATCTTGCTAGAAACAGATCAGCAGCAGTCAAAATGTTTTGCATAAATTTCTATCAAGTGACAACGAGGCCAACAGAAAAACAGCAAGCCAAACCAGTCAATGAGAGTAAGATCAAACAGATAAATAGCAGCTTGCAGTCAATACAAATATACGGAAACAAAAGAATATGGGGCTGGTTTTTAAATGATTATAGCCAAGAAGCTTGACTTCCAGTTACCTAGAATTCACTCTCAGTACAGCTGGGACAGGGAGCACAGAGGCTGCAGAAGCCCAACTTTTATTGCAAGCTTTGTTAGGCCAGCCAGCAGTGTGGAACTGTCCCAAATGCTCCTCCCTCCCTTCATTCTAGCCTTCGTATGCTTCTGCTCCATCCGTGACATGGACCATGACGTTGTAAGAAATCTCGCCCTTCTTCTATTTGGCAGCTTTATGAACGAATGAGAAGTTGGAGCACGTAATCAGAGGGGAACCAAAAGAAAACTTCTCCTTCTCCTAGAAAAATAAAAATCCAGTCTTACTGTTCTTATGGCAAGAGACTTTTCATTCTATGAATAGAAATAGAAAGGTGACATTTATCCAATTCACACAGTCCAAACTGGCTTTTCAGGGCAGCAAAAACTGAACTTCATTTTGCAAAAACACTTCTTAGGGAGAAATTGTATTTGCATTACGGGAAAAGCAGCCCAAACAGGAATTCTGGTTCAGAGGACATGATGGGATCATGAGGCACCTGACTATAATTCCATACCAAGACGTAGCCAGATGATTTAATCTTTCAATTCGTTTTAATCCAATTTGAAATGTGACAGTTTATTTAGATTTCCTTTGGAAAAAAAACCAAACTGGTTTTCATGTAGAAACTCTTATTTTTGACAAAACCTTCACATTTTCTGTACATGTTTTTGATTAAAGTAATCTTGTTCTGTTTTCACTCCAAATACTTGTGGGGGAGACTGAATGTTTCTGACCTGCTCTACTTTTCTGCCTCTGAGAACACCATCATGCCAATGCAAGGCTTGAAGTTCATAAGTGACAGAAGTCAGAGATGAGTCCAGTACTGTTGCCTGCACAGGCCTTCCCATATAAACAAATGGAAGATTTCAGTCTTCAGTACTGCCAGTTCTACAACCTTCATAAACACAAATATTTACTCAGAGAAATATGAAGAATCACGTTCTCATAAAAAAAGCCCACGTCTTCTGATTCCAACAGTGTAAAGTTGTAGACAAGGTAGTGCTTAAATGTGGTTTGCAAAAATTGAATTTAGAACTTGGCAAACATCTTTCAACATATGGCTAATTATGTTTTCTGAAGTTTCACCAAACAAGAAGCTAAAAATAGGTCTGCAGCTGATACCAAATAATTTTTTCCAGTGGAGTCATTCTTCATTTGGAGATAACAGTCCCAATAAAATGTTGAGTGCTGCAACTCCACATGTTTTGGCAAAAAAGTAGTTTTGGGGAATTTAAGAATTCACTCAGCATGCAGCCATCTGTCATTAAGGCTGTGATAAATCTGTTGGTTTTGGCCTGTGTTTCTGGACACACGTACCATCCTGAGGTATGGAAAAGAGATGAACTGGTAACACAGAACTTCAGCTCTGTGACAGGAGACAAAAGCAAGGAAGGAAATGGAGAAGGCAAAATGGAAGAGAGAAGTCTAATTAAGGCTGATGTAAAGCAGAGGAAAGTATCTTATATGCTGACTAAATACAACAGAATCCATAACTTGAATAGTATGGCTCTCCTTTAAATTCTTGTGTTTGAGTTCTTCCAGACTGTTTCAAGGAGCTGAAATTATTTTCCAATTTATTACAGACAATGAATGCTTTGACAATACCACATGTGCTTGACAACAATAAGAAAATGAGTATGTCACAATTAAAAAAAATTGATTTAAGAAAGTAAGTGTTTTGGTTTTGTTTGAGTCCACGTTACAGGTTTTAAAGCTTCTCTTATGTTTTATCAGACCTTCCATATAATATGATTAGAAGGTTTCAAAAACTGCTAACTCAAAGGATAAAAATACCGGCCAAACTGAGAGCACACATACAACCTTAACTCCCTCCTTTTGAGAACATTTGTTGTTATGGGTATGGATAGACCTTTAACCTGATGAAGGGTCTCTTCTGACTTAATATTTGACAGGCTGGAGCCTTCATCAACAACCTCTCATCTCTTGTTATTTTTTAATGCTTTGCTATTATTTTACATTTCCAAGCCTGTGTTTAGCTTAAGAAGTCCAGGAGATCCTGAAATCTTCACACCTCAACTAGGAAGCTGTAACTCTTTCTCCATCTTTCAATAAATCCTCTAATTCCTGGAACTCACCTTCCAGGGTATTTTGGGTCCCTAATAATGCTATATAGTCTAAGTGTTAGATTTATCTTCATTTTTCTGCTTCTCACACTGCCCCACTAATGACTATGCTGGGGGTGCATGAGAAGCTGGGAGGGGACACAGCTGGGACAGCTGACCCCAGCTGACCAAAGGGATATTCCACATCATATATCATGCTTAGCAAAAAAACAGCTGAGGTGAAGAAGAAGGAAGGAGGGATGTTGGGAGCGAAGGTGTTTGTCTTCCCAAGTCACCTTTAGGTATGATGAAGCCTGGTTTTCCTGCAGATGGCTGAACACCTGGCTGCCGATGGGAAGGAGGGAAGGATTTCCTCATTTAGCTTTGCTTGTGCATGCAGCTTTTGCATTACCTATTAAACTGCCTTTAGCTCCACCCACGCGTTTTCTCACTTACACCCTTCGGATTCTCTCCCCCACCCCACTAGGGGAGAGCGAGTGAGCAGCGGTGTGGTGCTTAGTTGCCAGCCAGGGTTACACCATGACAGCAAATACGCAGGGTTGTTGTTGGCAATGCAATGCTCCTATGTACGCAGCTGGACCCAGCTATCACCCGACTATGGAGACCTACTCCAGACTCTGGGTCTATTAACTTTCATTCATAAAGTTGT